TATATATATATATATATATGTAGTGTGTATAGTATGTGTGTATGTATATATGTATGTATATGTGTATGTGTGTGTGTAGTTTTTTTCAATCTCAAGCAAATACACAAATAAAAATACAATGATTGAATACAAAACCTCGATTGAATTCCTTTTAAAACAAGTGGCTAACAAATCATTGCTACAAAAGAGCTGGAATTCGAATACAAGGTAACTGATTATTTAAAAAATTATTTATTGACTAAGAAGTGTTCTTATTTCTTTGTGCATGTGGCATAGGAAATCGACATAGCTAGGGCTTCCATCATTTCCTCTATCTTCAACTAAAAAATGTCGTAACACCATTTCCAGTTTCTCACGTTGTCTCACTATTGTTAACTAAAAATGAAAAACAACAGATTATATTATACTCTAGCGCAATATGTTTTCATGCATTACATTAAACAGCTTACTTTCATACAGCGATGCCTTTCAGCATGTATTCGATTGATAATATTCGTAATTCTATTATTTAAAGGAGTGTCTAATATTGGCAATGCAGCGCAGTCAGTATCGACTTGGACCACTGAAGGCACACCAAAGACATTCTGTACCCATTGGGAGGAAAGCGCTATACCCAACCATAAGAATATATGGATAGTATTTTCTAAACATAAAACAAATCACACTAAATGCATAAAATAATATCGATATCGATTATTTTTCACGTCTATTAAAGAATAATATGTAACAATTATTGCTAGTTAAAATAATTTCAGCAATCTCTCCGAGTTATATATGATTGAAAAGTATATAAACTTTGATATTACCAAGTAGATACGCGCCATCGTCTGAAAATTTGTCAATAGAGCAGCGCAACATTGGTGGTAATTCTGTGTCTTGAGGATCAACGTCGTGCAACGGAAATAATCTAGGATAAGTGTATGCAATGGATATGGAAATAGGCATCGTTGCAACTGTTTGCATGACATAAGATCGATCGTCGATGGTCATATCAGCTCCTAAAAAAAAAAAAAAAAAAAAAAAAAAAAAACAAAAAATAACACTTGATATAAACTTTATCTTATAAATACACTACATTGATTAAATGTGTGTGTATATTTACCTCCTGACAAAGCGTCGCTTTTCAATAAACAATTAATGTAAAGTGGGAGTAATTTCATACATTCCGGTAATATTAATTGCCCAGCACTAGATGGTGTCGCACAGTGCTTTCGATATATAGCCAGCATATTTGCGCATCTCGCTATCAAGTTATCTTTTACCGTTTTTGGAGTGGATTCCAGTAATTTAAATACATCTAAGTACAATAATTACACACACATGTGTATTATATTATTTTAAACAAAATATTATTCTTACACTATTATATATCAAGAACATATCTTACTTTGCTTGGAAAAGTAATTTATAATGGCGTCTAAATCGCACGCGCGATATAGTTCGACCATTTGCGACGAAGTTTTCAGACTCAGATTTATGATTCGTAATTTTCTTGTACCACCGCAAGAAGTATACAGCAAAGCTACTTGAATGTATACACCTTCGTCATCGGTCAGTTTGTCGTCATGTTTAACTTCTATTCCAATAGCCTTGTAAATTACAAATCAAGTTAATTAAATAAAATATAGCACGCATGACTACATTAATAGATAACTCTTTATTCTTTAATACCCTACCTAAAAATTCTAATATTATAATTCTGTAATTATAATATATTAGCTATTAATTATATAACGTATTATTGTATAATTGACTACCTTGTCGCAATCTATGCTGGCTAATTCCATATCAGTTGTATTGGACATAAAGTAGTGCCCATAAAAATCGGTCGCCCTAACACCTGTAGATGTACGTACCCGCATAACAGCATCAAAAGCGATTGGTCTACTAATATTATTAATTACATCTGAAATTAATCTTTCACCATCAATATCAGCCTGCAACAAAAAGTTTATATTCTTCAATGTAATCTTACATAAAAATAAGTAAATATGCACACACACATATATGTAAAGTCTAATTTAATCTAATTATTCCTTACATGTATTTTTATTACAAGTGCTTACTTGAAAGTAAGTGTATTTATAAATCTCTCCTCCAGTGAGTCGACAAATTTGACCAATTGTTGCCACATCTACATATGAATTGTTAAAGATAAACAGATCTACACTGCAACCTGCACCAACACATTCTTGACCCAAATTATTATAGACATTGTTTTGTGGTACTGTAATATGTATAATTATATATATATATATATATATACACACACACACACACACCGGCTGTCTATATAATTAAGCTAATTTTACAACAATATGGCAATCATGGTGAATAATGAACAATACAGCTACGTTATCGCGAGACTATTACTTAACACTGTTTTTTCTTTATCTGTACCGAGTACTTTACGATCATCACGGTTTTTCAATTTTCCAGGTGCTTCAGCAATTGGTAAAGATGAATGGAATATTAATAATTTACCAGAACATTCAGATGCCTACAATCATAAGCAAATCTATGTAAGAGCTCTTTTACTGAACTAACCAACTTATTTAAAAAATCATTGACAAGAGAAACAAAATTTCATATATATTATGTATTATAGATGTTTCTTTCTTTTTCCTTTCGCACACAAAGTGTATATAAAACTATCCTCTCTATTTATACGTACCTTTAATGATTCTAATCCGGCTTGTATGGCAGGAGCTAGAATCGTTTCTGTTTCTCGAGTGTCCGCAAACATTTGTGGAATCTGTGCCATAAGACTGTCGATAACTGTTTCGCTCTCTTCGACGTCGCATAGAAATCCATCCAAAAGCGGCATAAATACATCTTGAATATCTCCAACAACCATCATTTGTGGTTGAGCAAGACAAGAATTAATGTTATAGAAATGTACGGTATTATTATATGTTATAAAACCAACTTTCATGTTACTTTTGGTTTTTCCAGCATCAATAGGTAGATTTTTTATTATAGACTTCATTTTTGTACATAGTAAGCTTACTAAACCAGATTTAATTGTATTATATGAAACGTCAATTACGAACACAATGGCTGGTGATTTTGGAAAAACATTGTCCTGTATGGAGAAGAAAGAAACATATAGTGATCAATATACATATAAATCTAATATAATTCTAACAGATGTGAATAAATAATCTCAATTCTTATTTCGTGATTTCTCCAATTTTCTAAAGTATATAACATATTTACAAATTATTCTATGTGAAAAGAAAAGCTTGAAAGAGCAATTTTACCAAATAAATTATGCGCAAATGTATAAATCTGTTATTATTCATTATTATGAAGTTAGTTTTAATAATGTGATACATTACCCTGCAATAATCCTTTGTAGCTATATATTCAAATGTACCCAACATTAACTCTGGTCTTTCGTAGCGATCTAAGCGTTGACCTGTATGATCCAAGTGTTGAAAGTATTCGTTTGGAACTAAACACACAAAGAGAAAATAGAGGCATAAATAAGTGATAAGTGATTGGTGCAAAGATCTTTGCAAATCCTTATTGAAAAATGCGTTAATATCCGTTTATTACCTTCTGTAGTGGCTTTGCAGAATATGCATTGAAATCTTCGGCCGGCATCGATAAATTGCATAAACGGACACATATACGCTTTACAACGCACGCAACGTACCGGCCCAATTTCACCCATATCCACAATTGGCGGTTCACATTCTCCTTGAACGATACGAGCCATTGGACTTATTACAAGCCCAAAGGGAACATTGGTCTATAAAAGATGTGGATGCGTAATATGTAGAATAAAATACTTGAATTACAAGTTTTCTCGATTTATAATATTATAATATATATGTATACCTGTTTTATAATATCAGCAGTAGTAGGGACAGTATACATCGTGGATCTTATATATCTAGGGGATGCATTTCCTTGATCCTGAGTTACAAACTTTGTCGTTACCAGAGGTGGTACCAGACCTCTCTGATTCGTTATAAACACTCCACCTCTCATATTTTGATCATCCTGCATTACTTGAATCTGCATATAACAAATGTATTTAGATTTATATTGGGATACAAAATGATAATATCGGCAAATAAATTGGATTGGCAAAGCTTTTAAACTCGTACTGGGCTCGGCATTTGTTCTGGATCGAGTCGCCTAGCTTGCTGGGGCTGTAATCCTGATTGATATCCTGTAGCATTAGGTACTCCGCTTTGATACAGACTTCTTTGATTATTATACATATCCTGTGAAAAGAGAACAATTGTGTTGCATTTCTCTTTTATTTCTTCTATATAATCAACAATCTGATCTAATCTTAAAATAGAATAATTTTTAATCACAGTTGTACCATCTGATTATGATATCCTGGCTGCTGGTACGTTGGTTGTTGATAACTCGAAGTAGTAGCAGACGACGCACGATTCATTCCTAAAGAAGTGGATAAAGTCTGCCCTGGCAATGGAGGCGCAGTAGAGCCATATTGTCTTTGTCCAGACTGCGGTAGGCCTAGACCTGTAGGATTTGCTATGGTCTGGCCTGGCATCGGAGGTGCAGTTTGTAAGTATTGCTTTTGTCGAACTTGGGGAAGGCTAGTGCCTGGAGGACTCGCTACAAATTGCCCCATTGTGGAAAGAGGAGGAGCAAACTGTCTTGGTTCAAATTGCGATAAGCCTGTTGGATTTGCAAAGCCTGTCATGCTCGCTATGGTTTGTGACGGCAGTGCAGAATTATATAGCCCTATTCCAGATTGAGATAGGCTAACATTTGGGGGATTGGGGGCCACTTGAGTTTGATAATCTGCAGAAGATTGCCCATGTCCATGAGAACCCATCGATAAAGATGGTGACACTTGCGAACTAGGAGCTCCTGTCACTGGAGGATTTGTCATTTGGGAGTGATTGACAGATTGTTGGCCTACAATTGGTCGTGAGAAGTTTTGCTGATTATTTATCAGAGGCACTTATGCCTCTTAAACTTACACCATAACTATGATAACTTACTTACCATACGAATGCTGCCTGCCTATCTCCTGAATATGCTGCATCTGTTATAACAAAGTTTATTACAAATGCAAATTAAAGATAAATTAAGAGTGCGCTAACGATAAGATTATTACAGGTCATTCAGTTTATATATAAAAGTAATATGGACATAGTAATCGCAAAGATTAAGTATATTCCAATATGCATAGAGACTTTATTATTGCGATTACAATTAATCAAAATTAACTTACGGAAACGCACGCGCGCTTACATACAATGTATATGAATAAAATAAACTAAAACAATTACAGAAAGTGTTTCGAAAAAAGAGATAACCTATATGAAAAAATAATAATATAATAGCGTGGATAATGCATGCTTGGGTAATATAAGGTTTTTATTTAAATAAAATTAAAAATATGCGTTGAAAGACATGAAATATTAGAAATAATAAAAGCGTATGTGTGCGACGTTGTAAATTCTGAAAACATTACGTATATACAAAACGCACTAATCGAAAGTTTTTCCTAATCGTAAATTACATAATATATACTTGCGTTATATCATAAAATGTGTTTGAATCATAACAAAACTTGATATTATCGAAATACGCGAAAACGTTCCAAGAAATGTATGTCAACGAAACTGCAAATTCCAACTCCCAACTGCTGCCGATTACCGATGCCCGATGCCACGTAAGGCGACACTACGCATGCGTCTTGATACCAATCCTGATGTCAGCAAAGTTGCGAATTGGAGGTTGGAGGAGGTATATATAAATTCCACGCATGCGTAGTAGCGCAAACGCTAGCAGACACCTACAGTCATAGGCCCAATGAGCAAATGAGGAAAGACCTATACATCGACTTTACATCGACTTGGCTGAGTGGGCCAGTACAATCGGGCCCGGAGCCATTCAACTGAAGAAGAAGAAGAAGAAGAGGGAGCCGCTAGAGTGATTCGGGCTTTAAGTGATATTACATTTGTCGTACGACAAACTTTTTAATGCCGGTCCACAATAGGTGATTTAGAGGAAAGACCTACATGAAGCTAACCGGCAGAAATTATTAAATATGATTATTTTTAACTTTTTTGAGTGTATTTCGTTTGTAAATTGTTTGTGATTGATTGTGAGTCTGTTTTTAACGTTTGTGACAAATTAGGTTTTTTGTAATTAACAATTTTAGTTTAGTCATGATGTCAGCCGATACTTTTTAGTAATAAACAATTTTATGATAACTGATAACTGTAATCGACAGGAAATCGTTTGTGATTTACAAATATACCAATGTTACATTTGTGAATTGATAAATTTTTTAATTACGTGCAAAATAAGTTTATTTTATAATTGTAGTGCGCATGCGCAAAGTATGCTCAGACTTTGAGACGTGTGAAGGTGCCTTTACATGGCAGCGTCGAGCGTCTGCGTAGAAAATTGCGCAGAATCTAATTTCAGCCTAGAATCTGTAAAGTGTTGACAAGACGATAACTGAGCGCTTTCTCTGCTGAACGCGGCCATTGACAGAAAAGAGAGATTAACGTTAAATAATGGCATTATGAACAAAAGCATTGTAATCCTAGTGTTAAACTTTAATAAGCCCTATACCTTAAGAAATTGACGAATCACAATCAAGTATGAGAAGAATACTCGACTGTGATTAGTCAATTTCTTAAGGCTTAGGGCTTAAATCACCTATTGTAGACCGCCACTTAAGGCCCGATTCCACAACTTACTTTATCCGGAGTTTAAAGACTGGTTTATGCAGGCCGTAACTGTTAATTTATGCCGGAACCGTTAGTGCCGGAAGCCCGAATCATACTAGCAGCTCGCGGCTGCGATTGCAATTGCCTCAGCCAATCGGAAAGCACCAATTGCAAGTATGATTGGAGCGTAGCAAATCACAATCACAAACGCAATCGATCAATGTAGAACGGGCTTTATGCATAACGAAATTGACCAATCAATTTCCTTATGTTTATGATTCTGCGCTTATGCAAAAGTGTGTGCCCCCGCTTTATTGTTCACCGAAAGTTAAATAAAGACAGATGATGTTTGCGAGCGTTGCGGTCGTTAAGTGGAACGCGCCATTGGCCGCGTTCAGCAGAGAAAACCGCTTAGTAGCAATCGAATGTGATTGGTTCTTACTTTTAGAAAGCCTTAAGGCCCGATTCCACAACTTACTTTATCCGGAGTTTAAAGGCTGGTTTATGCAGGCCGTAACTGTTAATTTATGCCGGAACCGTTAAAGTTTTAAAGGCTGGTTTATGCAGGCCGTAACTGTTAATTTATGCCGGAACCGTTAAAGTTTTTAGACGTAATGTGAATTTTCCATTAACAAGTTAAACTTCGGTTAAAGTAAGTTGTGGAACTGGGCCTAAGAAATTGACTAATCACAGTCGAGTATTCTCCTCATCACTCGATTGTGATTGAACAATTTCTTAAGGCTTAGGGCTTAAATCGCCTATTGTAGACCGGCACTTAAGCGCATTAATTAGCTAATTTCTAGAGACTCAAGAAATTTTCTATTTTGCAGCCAATCAGTATGCTTAAAAAGTTTATCGTACGATAAATATAATATCATCCTTAGGCCGATATTACATTTGTCGTACGACAAACTTTTTAAGCGCATTGATTAGCTAATTTCTAGAGACTCAAGAAATTTTCTATTTTGCAGCCAATCAGTATGCTTAAAAAGTTTGTCGTACGACAAATGTAATATCGGCCTTACCCTTATGCCCGTATCAGATTACGCATTGAAAATTGAAGATTGAAGATTAAAGATTGAAATTTGACTAATCAAAACAAAAGGGACTAAAATTTTTTTGTCCTGATTGGTCAAATTTCAATCTTCGATCTTCAATCTCAATCTTCAATGCGTAGTCTGATATGGGCATAAGGGTGCATTACATGAAGCGCGAAAGAGAATAAGATAGAGTAACTAGATTTCCGCGTTTTGTTCCGTCTGTTTTGATTGCCTTATATTACATAGAGCATATTTTAAGCGGAAAAGCGGAACGGAAAATTATAAAATATTAATTTTTATAACGTACGTTATAAATTATTAATTTACTTAACGTAACGTAATGCATTACGGAAAAGCTTGTGCGGTGGCCCTCACGGTATCATTTCATTCTTAAGCGGGGAGCACACACTTTTGCATAAGCGCATAATCACAAGCTTTAACGGTTCCGGCATAAATTAACAGTTACGGCCTGTATAAACCAGCCTTTAGGGTTAAAACGTATTTTCTATTCTGTTTCGTTAAAACTTGCGTTATTATTAATTACAATATGTGAAAAGAAACATATAAATTTTTCTTGTCGAGAAATTTATATATATGCCGTCTCATAAATAATAATACATAAAGTAATCGCAATATGAGGGTAATATTTAGCAAGTATATAGGAAAGTTTATGTTTTTACATAAATTATGTGTTGTTACCACACCGCATAAACATAGGAATCTTTGAGAGCATATTGGAGCATTTTCGCAATCGATACACGATTTTTATATCAGGATTGGCCGATAAAAATAAAAGAGCGATAAATAAGAAATGTTACGAGATTATGAATTCTTTGTTCGCTTGTGCGAGAAACGTAGAATTTTCTCGATTCCTGAAATTTCGGATGCGATTAAAGTTAGCAGGTACATATTTTTATACTTGTACCTGTATCTATTGTTTTTTATTTTTGCATGCGACTTTACTGTAATAAGTTTTACCAATTAGGCATCAATTTTATTATATTTTATTAAAGTCAAAAATTTAGAAATTTCTGAGCATGAGTATGCTCTATTATTTCTTGCTTATAATATTTGCGGAAAAGATATTTGCTCATCTAATTTTGGGCATAATTATAACAAAAATTTGTAATAGGAATTCATACAATTCATCTTTCACAGTATCACCGGGGAGTTACGATTGTCTTGCCTATCAATAATAATACCAGTTTGCAAGATTATAGCGCAGACATTAGTATCCAGCTCTAAGATCAAAACACTTGATATAAGTGACTGCATGTTGCTACCTAAGGGTCTTGACAGTATCCTGAATGCATTCTGCGAGGGCACTGCTGTAACAACTCTAAAGTTAAAGGGCAATAATGTGAATGGGCCTTCCGTTGCCCAGTTAGGACGGGTTCTTGCATACAACAACACGCTCAAACAATTACATATAGAATGGAATAGCATAGGATTGCATATAGATTCATTTGCTTCTTTCTGCGATGGTTTAACTAGAAATCACAACATTGAGCAACTTGATCTTAGGTAATATTGACATATATTCGTTTTAGCTATGTTTTTTCTGTTTTTTGCACTTGGAATTACAGGTCTATATCTAATATTTGGTTTATATTACTTTAGAAAGTAAAAGCAAGTATAGTGTGTACAAATGAAGTACAATAAAAACAAAGAAATCTATTATGTGGACCTATGTAATAAAGACATATGTAAATTTTAGTACTTATCTAAATTTCACTCGTGGATCTTTTACTAGTCATGTCAAATGTCAAGTTTTTATTTTTGTATCTTTTAAATATTTATTCTCGAATTTGTATTAAGAAAGTTATACTCAACTTAAAATATATATCTCTTGGTAAATCATTAGTTTGTAAAAAATACACATTAGTAACGATAAATTGTAGAGAATTTATTTGAAAGTGTGCTTTGAGAAATATGTTTTATTTATCAAACAATGATATCAGTTGTGATAAATTGAATCGTGTACATACACCTCTCTCTGTCTCCCTCTTCTTATCTGTCTATATTTCTCTATCTAATAAACTATTTTTTGTAAGAAATATACAAGCCATGCAGAAAACCAACCAAGTAAAGCATAAAAAACGACAATCAATGATATTGATCTCATGCAGATACAATCAAATATCGTCACACTGTGCTGAACATCTTTGTAAAATGATACATCGGAACAAGGTATTGAAAAGCATCGACTTGTCCTGGAATATATTAGGCTTGCAAGGCGGACGGCTGTTATTAAAAGCAATATGTGAGAACAAGATTATTACCAATCTTGTTCTATATGGAAACTCTATACCCGAGGACATCACGCTCGCAATTAAAAAACAGCTACGAGAAAATCGTCATAGATATTCCATCACCGAAATTGCTTTATCTGTCGACGCAAAATTCATGAAATTTCCGATGGGGACGATGGGAAAGGACTTTATAATGTCAATGTCAACCGGCGATCTTGAAATTGCTCATTCAGAACAAAAGCATTTAATATCATATCAAAAAGAAAAAATCAAGACTGAAATTCTACAAGCATCTGCAGATGTGAAGATTAACGATCGAATTAATCCTTCAGAAATAAACTCGAAAATAAATACAGAATTGGAGGACAATAACAACAATTCAAACGCATGCGTAAATATTTCCTCGAGAGATCACGATAACAACAGGACAATCGAGACAGATGCCAAGATTGCCGATCTCGGTAAAATGCTACAGGAACGTACCGCAATAATTGATCTGCTGAACGGTGAGCTCACGATAAAAATCGCAGAGGTGGATGATATGCGGGCACAGTTAAACTTGCTGCAGACTGAGATTAATCAATTGCAGGAGGAGAAGGAGAAGTTTGATTTGGATAAAGCGAAGGAAATTGCCGAATTACGGAAGAGTCATGATGAAGCGAAGAAAAACTGGCAGAAGAGTTACGAGGATTTGAAGAACGATTATAATGAACGTTCGCAATACAAAAAAGAGGCAAATTCTAAGGTAAAATTGATAAAATTCATGGTTTTATTAAAAATATGTTTTTGAGTTTCAATCGGTTTCGAGCGAAAGATTTCTACAAAAATATTTCAATCGAAAAATGTAATTAAAATTCCTTTTATCGATACGGTTTCATCGAAAAAGGAAAGTGATCTCTAAATATCGGACTCGATCTAAAACGATCTTATATTAATCACATACATGCAAGATATCCTTCATGTAATTTGCGTTATATACATAAAATTTTTTTTTATGTAACAAATTTAAATATTAAATTGTCAAATTGGATGACTCGCATGGTAATTCGTAAGATAATTTTTTACAAGATTTATCAGATTTCCTAAAAGGTAATATACGTGAATAGTCGATGGCAGATTTATAGCTCTAGAAACCTTAAAATTTAATAAAATATTAAAAGGCCTTATGGCTCTTTATTATTTGTTATATGAACCAATTTTTACAATATAATTTAACAGGAATAAGTATTTACAAGACAGATTTAGGAGCTTGTCAGGTATTTGAGCGCGAGCTTAAAAATGTTTCTCAAGTAGCTGGAAAACGAAACTTAAATCGGCTCTTTGATAACGCTGAAAAAAGTTTGCAATAATCGATTGTTGGAAAAAACTACACAAGTTTATTTTTTAATTTTATTTTTTATATCTGACAGATTCGACAATATGAAAGAGAAATTCACAAAAGCATGTTGAAGATTAGCTTACAAAGAGATAAACTCGTGTCTACTACGCGAGCGTACGAAAATCTGCTATCGAGGAACAAGATTGAGATGCATCATCTGAGAAGAGAATCCAAAGAGCGTGATAATAAACACAGAACCGAACTGAATATTCTAAAAAACACGCTAAAAGAGATTATGCAAGCTTTCAAAGTTTGCCAGACCAAATTACATAAAAGCAGAGGAGAGTCGCACGACTTGTGCGAAAAACAAGGCCTTTTAAAGAGTAAATTAGACGACGCAGAACAGAAAATATTGAGGTTGCTTGATAATATAATTTTTATTTCATTTTAATCTCTTAAACATATAAAAATATAAAAAGAGTTTTTAAACGATAAATTGTAGAGAATTTATTTGAAAGTGTGCTTTGAGAAATATGTTTTATTTATCAAACAATGTGTGTGTGTGTGTGTGTGTGATATCGGTTGTGATAAATTGTATCGTGTACATACACCTCTCTCTGTCTCCCTCTTCTTATCTGTCTATATTTCTCTATCTAATAAACTATTTTTTGTAAGAAATATACAAGCCATGCAGAAAACCAACCAAGTAAAGCATAAAAAACGACAATCAATGATATTGATCTCATGCAGATACAATCAAATATCGTCACACTGTGCTGAACATCTTTGTAAAATGATACATCGGAACAAGGTATTGAAAAGCATCGACTTGTCCTGGAATATATTAGGCTTGCAAGGCGGACGGCTGTTATTAAAAGCAATATGTGAGAACAAGATTATTACCAATCTTGTTCTATATGGAAACTCTATACCCGAGGACATCACGCTCGCAATTAAAAAACAGCTACGAGAAAATCGTCATAGATATTCCATCACCGAAATTGCTTTATCTGTCGACGCAAAATTCATGAAATTTCCGATGGGGACGATGGGAAAGGACTTTATAATGTCAATGTCAACCGGCGATCTTGAAATTGCTCATTCAGAACAAAAGCATTTAATATCATATCAAAAAGAAAAAATCAAGACTGAAATTCTACAAGCATCTGCAGATGTGAAGATTAACGATCGAATTAATCCTTCAGAAATAAACTCGAAAATAAATACAGAATTGGAGGACAATAACAACAATTCAAACGCATGCGTAAATATTTCCTCGAGAGATCACGATAACAACAGGACAATCGAGACAGATGCCAAGATTGCCGATCTCGGTAAAATGCTACAGGAACGTACCGCAATAATTGATCTGCTGAACGGTGAGCTCACGATAAAAATCGCAGAGGTGGATGATATGCGGGCACAGTTAAACTTGCTGCAGACTGAGATTAATCAATTGCAGGAGGAGAAGGAGAAGTTTGATTTGGATAAAGCGAAGGAAATTGCCGAATTACGGAAGAGTCATGATGAAGCGAAGAAAAACTGGCAGAAGAGTTACGAGGATTTGAAGAACGATTATAATGAACGTTCGCAATACAAAAAAGAGGCAAATTCTAAGGTAAAATTGATAAAATTCATGGTTTTATTAAAAATATGTTTTTGAGTTTCAATCGGTTTCGAGCGAAAGATTTCTACAAAAATATTTCAATCGAAAAATGTAATTAAAATTTCTTTTATCGATACGGTTTCATCGAAAAAGGAAAGTGATCTCTAAATATCGGACTCGATCTAAAACGATCTTATATTAATCACATACATGCAAGATATCCTTCATGTAATTTGCGTTATATACATAAAATTTTTTTTTATGTAACAAATTTAAATATTAAATTGTCAAATTGGATGACTCGCATGGTAATTCGTAAGATAATTTTTTACAAGATTTATCAGATTTCCTAAAAGGTAATATACGTGAATAGTCGATGGCAGATTTATAGCTCTAGAAACCTTAAAATTTAATAAAATATTAAAAGGCCTTATGGCTCTTTATTATTTGTTATATGAACCAATTTTTACAATATAATTTAACAGGAATAAGTATTTACAAGACAGATTTAGGAGCTTGTCAGGTATTTGAGCGCGAGCTTAAAAATGTTTCTCAAGTAGCTGGAAAACGAAACTTAAATCGGCTCTTTGATAACGCTGAAAAAAGTTTGCAATAATCGATTGTTGGAAAAAACTACACAAGTTTATTTTTTAATTTTATTTTTTATATCTGACAGATTCGACAATATGAAAGAGAAATTCACAAAAGCATGTTGAAGATTAGCTTACAAAGAGATAAACTCGTGTCTACTACGCGAGCGTACGAAAATCTGCTATCGAGGAACAAGATTGAGATGCATCATCTGAGAAGAGAATCCAAAGAGCGTGATAATAAACACAGAACCGAACTGAATATTCTAAAAAACACGCTAAAAGAGATTATGCAAGCTTTCAAAGTTTGCCAGACCAAATTACATAAAAGCAGAGGAGAGTCGCACGACTTGTGCGAAAAACAAGGCCTTTTAAAGAGTAAATTAGACGACGCAGAACAGAAAATATTGAGGTTGCTTGATAATATAATTTTTATTTCATTTTAATCTCTTAAACATATAAAAATATAAAAAGAGTTTTTAAACTAGAGAATTCGTTGGTATACGGAAAGCATTATAATTGTCACGTATCTACCGACTATGTCCAAATCCATATCAGTTTCTATAATTTTTATACAATTAATTAAAACACTGAGTTACCAAAATAATTACTTTACTTTGTCGATATGTGTGTGTGATGCTTATAAAATGCATATATTATATAAAATATATACTTTTTTTGCGAGATTTCACGGTAATCTTTGTCAGGCAAACAGCACTAAGATGCGTTGATGTAACGAGAGAATTCGTTAGTATACGGAAAGCATTATAATTGTCACGCATCTACCGACTATCCAAATCCATATCAGTTTCTATAATTTTTATACAATTAATTAAAACACTGAGTTACCAAAATAATTACTTTACTTTGTCGATATGTGTGTGTGATGCTTATAAAATGCATATATTATATAAAATATATACTTTTTTTGCGAGATTTCACGGTAATCTTTGTCAGGCAAACAGCACTAAGATGCGTTGATGTAACGCACAGCAAACAGACTACAAGTTCTATCTCTTCTGAAATTTTTACTTTAAATACTTTTTCGCACAGATATGCAAAACTGGAAGAAAGTTATCAGAAGATAAAAGAGGAGAAGAACATATTAGAAGAAAAATTAGCTGATTCCCAAAGAATTGTATCTTTCTTGCAGTGCCAAGTAGCAAGTTTTCAGAGCGAGTTGATCGAACCTCAGAGACGTTACAATTTGCTCAAAGATGAGCTTGATCAGAAAAAACAGATAAGCGAGACATTAAAACAAGAACTTTTCGAGGAAAGAGCAAGATTAAAAGATCAAAATCTTCAAATGGAAAAAATGAATCAACAGATCACTGCTCTCAATATGCGATTGAACGAAGTTCAAATCATTCACACTGAACTACTCTGTGACCGCGATAGAGAAAGAAAGCAGCTCCAAGACATTATTTCCAGCAAGGAACGCAATCTCTCGGAGTTACGGTAAACTTGCTAATTTAACTTTAATCCTAAAGTAGACGAAAGTAAAACATATTTATTAATGAGACAAGATTTTTATATACATACATATAT